ACGAATTTGGGAATTTTCAAGAATCGAGATGACAAACTATGTTTAGTAATAATTTAGACGATTTCCATGTTCAAGAATCAAGAACACGCAACTATGTAACTAAAATAATAATAAAAAATTACAAAATTAACCCACATATCACAAAAAATCACGCAATCTTGCAACGAAATTGAAGGCTATCAGTTGTGACTGATCTTAGACTGCCGGCGACCGTCGCTGGCAGCTGAAAATTCTGACCGTAGACTACCGACAATTTGGGAAAAATTCAGGAGCAAGAGAGAGATAAATGGAAGGTTAGGGATTAGGGTTGTGTTTGTGAGAGTTTGAGTTCATTTTTTTAAAAAAATTGGGATAGAGGGTCGGGTTGGGATTTGGCGAGTCGTAAATTGTAATAACTAATAGGAAATTAGAAATTAACAAAAATACCAACAAAATGACAAAATTATTGAATTTACAAAATTGTAATTTTGGATAAATTTTCAAAAAAATTCAATTTTTCATTTTTTATTTTATATATTTTTTCGCCGGTCCGGTTTGGTTTTAAACCGTAATTAAAATTCTCAAACCTAAACAAAATCGTTTTCGACCGGTTTGGTTTGGTTTAAAACTATTTGGTTGACGGGTTCACGTGGCACCAAACCGTCGGTTTCGAAATTGCGGTTTCGGTTCGATTTTCCGATTTGACGATTTTTGTCTACAGCCCTAATTTAAATGACTACATTGCTAGGGTGTGTTTAAGCCCCAATTTTTCGAAAGAAAAGTTTTATAATGGTGATGCTTTGAAGAATATATGTTTAAAATGTAGGAAAATGTTTCGAGTTTATATATAAAATTATTTTATTGAAAGAACGTATAACTGAAAATAAATTTGGAAAAAATATTTTTTTATAAAATGTAGGCTAAACAGGTACTTGATAGAATGGAAGCCCCATAAATGGACCTTAAACAGCAATTCTTGTTTATCGGATGCAAATGAGTTAGAATTTGTAAATAACAAGTACAAATGAGTTAGATTAATAGTAATCACGTTGTTAACTAATTACCTCGGCAAACATTAGTAATGAATATTGACAGTGGTTATAACAAAAATTGAGAACATTCTGATTTTTTATCTCCATTGCCTAAAGTTAAGTAGTCCATCTCCTCTTTACAATGGCAACATTCATCAAAACATAACCAAAAGCAAATGGAAGTGGAGTCATAGCCATCACATTGCCGTCTCACATTTCACCATCCCCAGGGGACCTAGACCCAACATCAAGTGTGGACAGAAATTCCTCCAGTTCAGCAGGATTAATGGTCGGATGGCTCTGCCTGAGCCAAGCCTTGACATGGTCGAGTGCCAAGAGATATGATTTTGACCCATACATGGCCAGGGTTTTCTTATATTCATTCGTCTTCTTGTAAATAGATACAGAATCAGACTGAGAGACGTCGTGTGCGGCCAACTTTCGCTCCAACTCCGCCAAGGCCTTTTTAATAGTACGCAACTCGGCATCTTTCTTTTGTATTTCCACCAACGTCCTCGACTTCTCCACCACTAATTGCCCCACTTGTACATCCTTTTCGTGGACCTCCTCCTCTGCCTTTCCCGCTCTCCTCTCAGCATCCTTTGCTCGCTCGTAAAGTGTTTCCCCAAAGGTTGCCACCTGTAATTATGATATGATAAGCACTTGAGATGTCTAAATGACAAAGTAGGCAAGGAGGGAACTTACCCGAGATATCTCCATCAAGAGTCCTCGACGACTCTCTTCCAGAGACTTCTGTTCTAAGCTCTTCTTTAATTCAATATCAACACAACCAACAACTCGGTCTACCGAAGCTGACTGGGGTGAAGTTGATGGATTTTGAGGAGTAGGCACGCCCCGAGTGGGCGAGCTAACCGCTGTCCTCTTTCTCCCTGAAGGGGAGGAAGCACCAGGTGCCATAGACTTTTGTCTAGCCGTCTTGAAAACATACGAGGCATCAAAATCCATGCCTGCACAATGGATTAAGTCAAAAGACTCATGACATATTTAAGAAAATAAAAATATAGGCGTCGAGATCTACCCTCAACGTGCTCATGATGCCCAAGCCCGACGGATATGAGGGTCTCATCAGTTAACACCTGAGACATCTTTCCCCCAAGTGGTGCAAGCCTGACGAGCCTATCAAGCTCTTGCTTTAAAGGAGCAGTACGTGTCACCGACAGGTTGAATTTGGACACATCTGGGTAACCCCATTTGTTGGGGAATGAGAACTCACCTACCTTAGGATGGATATAGAAAAACCTTCTTTTCCACCCCTTATTTGAGCTCGGACATATGGGAACATTGAAGTTTTCTTTACATGTTAAATATACAAAACGCTTAAATCCCACCAGATATCTCATCTCAAAGACTAGCCTACATAACTTTACAGAGGGTGAAATATCATTCTTCAGACAAACCAGCAAAAAGTACACCAACATTCGCCACCCATTCGGAACTATCTGACCCGGAGTAAGATTATATTTGACCAGGAGAGATTTCAGGAAGGGATGGAGAGGAAACCTTAGTCCCCCATCTAATTCATCTTTAAACACAGCTATCTCTCCTAAATAACAGCTTTATGGAATGTCCGAGGATTTGGGAACCCTGTACAAGAAATTTTGACCTAAGTTAAATCTATTAACCACTTCTTTCAAAGTGGCCTCCGTATACACGCTAGGATCATTAGGAACTGTGAATGTTGGGGTTCGATAATGGCCTCGGGTAAAAGGACCAATGGGTATGTCGTCATCCGAAGACGGAATATCATTAGGATAACCCCCAAAATCTGAGCTCCCAGAATCTGAATCACGAGATTTCTGAGGGGCCATGTGTAAGAAGAAAGGGGAAGATGCCTCGGAAGAGTTTTTTCAATTGATACAGGGAGAACTATTTGGGAACATCATCATGTTCATCATTAATTCCTCTAACAGAACGTTAAAAAAAAAAAAACCCATATCAATAATCACCCGAGAGTATAAATAGACTAAAGAAAATCATCCAAACCTCAATATTGATTGTCCCTCTCTACAATACTGCTATTTTTCCACCACCTTCTTCACAAAATTTACACATGCAGATGCATTCGAAGGAAATCTTCTAGAATATCAAACCATTACATTTTCTTCAAGTAATGTATGCATTTAGAGAGAGATGAAATGAGTGAGTGATCAGTGATGGTTGAAGAGATTTAGGGCTTACTGGAGATTGCAACTTAGGAGGGCACATTTGCACGAGGCCGATAAATAGCATTTAACACGGCGTGATGGTACATTGGTCCTTGTAAGGCCTTTGAAGTTGTTTACGCTATTCTAGGACAAACATGCTATTAAGTCCTTGTTTGGCATCCATTCTCTTTCTCATTGTCATTTTCTTTCTTTATTTCAACCACACAATTTTCAAATAAAATAATATTACACACAAATCTATAACTTTTCATTACTTTTCCATCACACATTCTCCCATCAATCACTATTCCAAAAATTTTCAACCCATTAAAATGGGTGTCAAACACACACTAAGAGTGTGTTTGAGATACATTCTTTTGAAAGAATGTATTATTGAATAGTAGATTGATAGAAAATGTGTGGTTAAAAATGCAGGAAAAGTTATTGATGTGATGAAAAACATTATTTTATTGAAAAATGTGTGGTTGAAAATGAGTAGAAGAATGAGAATGAAAAAAATAATATGTACCAAACAGAGCCTAAATTAAAATAATAGTTCACATAATTCTTAGAGCATGTTTGTGAGCAATTTTTGTGGGATTTTAATCAAAATTATAGCCGTTATAGTCAACCTATGAGCCCCACCTGTGAGAGGGAAAGTAAAAAATGATGGCTGATTTGATAATTAACGGCTAGAATTTTAATTAAAATCTTGATTAAAATGTCTCCCAAACAGGGCCTTAATATAATCTTTGGCATAATATCACATGACATTTCATCATTGAATTATTTTAAACATAGTCAACATTCACATCAAATCATCTATTGAAATTATGTCACTGTATATGTTACAATTTTTCTATCAAAATAGCAAAATCAATTTCAAGAAGCGTTAGACAATTGTTAATTAAGTGTCGAAAAAAGTCCTTAAAAAAGCCTTTTAAAATGGGAATTGCAATAGCGGTCCCCAACCTTTCCTTTTTTTTTTTTGCAGACTTTACCCTAACTTTCAATTTGTGCCAGTGAATGTCCCAAACTTTTGAAAATTAAAAGTCTGTCCACTCAAAGAATTAAGCTAGCTGTACAATTTTGTTTACACGTTGGTTAATAAATTGATAACTTGAAAGGATTATAATAGTTGAATTAAATGTGTGAGATGTAAAATATAATGTGAGAATATGTCAATTGTAAATTCAATAAGTCAAAGTGTAAAATATGATGTATATATAACAAGATTTATCATAATATAGTAGCAACATAAGAGAAATTCTATTATTATCATATTTCTATTAATTATTTGAAGTAGTTAAATAAAGTCACATATATATCATTTGAATATATTTTAAACACGACTTCTCATATGTAGGCTGAATTTTTTTTTTTTATATATAAATCAACACGTGGACAATTCTTTTGAATAAGTGGTGCGAGATTTAAACTCAAGACCTTTGTTTGCTTTAATACTATGTTGAACAACTTTGACTTGAATCTGCCTTTGGAAAAAGCTTGGTGTTGAGTTGGCTTGCAACATATCTTGTCGATTGTGAAGGCATGCAATGTAGACATCGCCTACACAGAAAACGAATAAGATATAAATAGAAATGATATAGTACAATAATGAGTTCGAGCATTAGCTCGTTAAAACCCAATCCTCTTTGAGATGGTCTTGTAGGTCGAGCCTCAAGGAAATGTCAAAGGTTGGACCCGCAAAACTCACTTGGCCAGTGTATAAGTAAGCTCTCAAGTCCCTTTACCGTTACGTTGATCCTTTTAAAATGGGAATTGTAGTAGGGTCCCCAACCTTTCATTTTTTTTTACAGATTTTACCCTAACTTTCAATTTGTGTCAGCGAATGTCCCAAACTTTTGAAAAATTAAAAGTATTAAAAGTATCAAGTTAGGAACACAGGCTTTGGCCCTTTTGTTTGCTATTAGGGGAATTCATAATTATCAAAGATTCATATGTTTTAGTTTCACAAGAGATCCCACAATGGATTGATTGGATCCAAAATCTCAGTGGGGAAGAAGATGAAGGCAGCGAAGTGGGTGGGGTGGGAGCAAATTTCTTTTTCTTTCTTTTTTTTTACTATTTTATATTAAATTTGTATAGTTATCATTTTTTCCTTCTTATATTTGGATGAAATTAATTTTTCCGGTCAACTATCGGTCATATCATCTATTTGGACCTGTACTGATAATTTTTCAAATGTTTGGAACCTTCGTTAACACAAATTGAAAGTTAGGGTAAAGTCTGTAAAAAAAAGTGAAAGGTTAGGGACTGCTGCTGCAATTTTTCCTTTTAAAATAAATCTGAAAAATTGAAAAAAAAGGAGAACCCCCTCCACCACCCCTTTTTTTGGCCTTTTCACTATATTTAACACAACATATTATTGTACCAAGTTTATGGTTATATCATTCGTACAAGGAGTTTTATTGCCAACTAAACTTTCACGTACAAAGTCAGTTACCTAATTGTACGGACCTAGCATAGCTTGAAACCATTCAAGCAGGTCCAACTCATGACTCATGAGGACTAAAGGGCAGTGTATGCACTAGAAGAGGATTTATACAATATGTATAGATTATAGTGCATATTGGGTCCAAACAAGACAAATTGGGCAAAACACTCTATCACATTTCCATCAACTAGAACAATTACATCAACAGAGTCTGCGTAAATTCCCAGTCCAAGTTCTATACTGAATTATCGATAAAGCAAGAGCGTTGAGTTACCGCTTCCACCAAGTGCTGAAATACGGCAAAGGACACTACCTTTCGTAGTCGTCGGTGGGAAGATAAATGACATCGCCTCGACACAAAATAGCAATTTATGACATACTCTAGTTTCAAAAAGAAAAACTTCTATTCAATCACACCAATAGGACCATGCATTTTCCATTCGACTGAAAAGGAAGACCATTATATTTTATGTTCCAAGAACATATAATTTTTTTTTTCGTGAATTCACCCATTTGTTCACCTCAAAGGCCGTAAAAAAATTGTCACGACAATAGATACAGCATAGAACATGTAGAGACAGATTACTCTAATCGAGAAGGCACATTTTAAATGTAAATACATCTCAATCATCACTCAGTTTCATCATTTTCTGAGTTCCCATCTTCATCAGAAGATTGTTCCTTTATATGCTCTTCTCCTGCTGCATTCAATTTTGTCTTTTTCTCTTGCTTCTTTTGTTTCTTCTTCTGTCGTTTGAAACGCTTTTTTGCCGTGCGCTCTTCTGCAGCTTTTAATCTTTCTTCCCTTCTCTGGATGAATTCTGTTATTTCTTTCCTTTTTTGGTAATCGGCATCCATCCTTTTAAGCCGATCTTGTTCTTTCTGTCTCATCTGCCTGCACTGTAATCATGATTCCCCACCACAAAAAGGTGTTAAATCTTCATACCAGTAGATAAACACAGATGTGGTAGACTAAAGAGATTTCCTTAACGACAATAAGTGCTAAAAGTGGAAAACTATTTGAGCTTATTATTTTAGAACTGTCTGTTTACAATATTTTGCCACGTCTAAAATAAATTAGACCTTCCGAAATTATGCATGAATCAGAAGAAAAGAAACATGATCTGATCACATAAGATGCTCGGTGATTTGCTCTTTAAAACCTAATATGCAAATCCATAAAGTTGCACATAATATCTAAAGAATAGTTTGTCCAATCTGTGCCTCGAGCGTTCAGATCAGCTGCATATTTTAATTCACCGAAGAATTAATTTAGACATAACATGACTGAGGAAAACTGCCAGACAGAGAGAGAACTCTATTTTCAAGAAAGCAAATCAGCTGCTACATGCCATTCATTAAGAGAAGTCACTTGCCAAGTATAAATTATTATGAACTTGTGATTTTGTTCTTCAATTGGGAAATGAATGTTGAAATGGGTTTGCCATACTTTATTCTGTATATTACTCAATGTTTGCAACGAAGGAATTTTCAGCTGCCTGTGTTGCTGCATTGTATTTGTTCAGACATAGTAAGAGATTTATCACTTCTATGAAAGTAATCAAAATAATATTTTTTTGTATTGGTTTTACTTGCGAACATTTTCTTGCATATTTATTGCTTACAAATTCATATGTAAGAATCAAACAAAAGGTACAATCATAAATGAAAGCTCAGAAAAGTTGAAAGATTTGGTTCATCCCTGTCGACCTGTTTGGTTATATTGATGGAACCATTCCTAAACCTCCAGCCACTCTTTCTTCCACCTGTGATTCAACTCCTCCCTCCATCAATCCTGCACATACTCAGTGGATTCGTCAGGATGCTCTAATACTGAGCGCTATCATGTCCACACTCACCGAACCTATCGTAGCCCAAATATCTTCCCTCCACACTTCAGCTGATGTCTGGCATGCTCTTGACCAGACATTTGCATCTCAATCCAGGGCTCGAGCTGTTCATCTTCGCTCTCAGCTCTCCAACATCCGCAAAGGATCTCAAACAGCCACTGATTATTTTTTCAGTATTAAGAAAATTACTGATGAATTGGCTATTGCAGGGCAAGTCTTGTCCTCTGATGATGTTATCACTTATGTTCTTGCTGGTCTAGGCCATGACTATGATTCATTAGTCACTACAATTACAGCCCGAAAGGATCATATCAGTCTGGAAGAACTTTATTCTTTGCTCTTAACAACTGAGGCTC